AAATAATGGTTATCCTTGCAATCAATATCTATCTGAAAAGAATAGACGTGAAACTATCATTAGACCGTCAGAACAAACAAAATTTATTAGAAATCGATAAACAAGTCGTTCTACGTCAAGGCAACGGCGACACACAACTTGATCAAAGCAACTACAATTGAATGACTTCATGTCACCACAACTACCTGATAGATCACCAGCAAATATGCCAAATCTTCCATTAGATTTTAATTCAACAACTTCTGATACAACAACAATTAATACAAGATCTAATATTCCAGTAAATGCTCTACCACAACGACCAAATTTTGCAACACAAACAATAACAACAAATGATACAACTCAACCATTCAATGTTTATGATGATTTAAGTAAGAATGTCAATGGACAACAAGTAAAACAGAAGTATAATCAATCAGAATGTCAGACTACTACGACCTACTATTACAGCATCTTATAGACGTCGACAACGTTGAATGCATCAACAACAATATCATAATACAACTGATCAAAATGAAAAAAATTATAATCGATTTGCTGCATTAGAACAAATAGATATATCAATAGATATTGAATCAAATTATGATGATGAAATAAATGATGTTCTATCAATAGCAGAATATGATATTGCTGATCACAATGAAAAAGAACAAATGAAACAAAACAAAATGAATCGAATAAATGATAAAAATAATAATAAAAAGCTTAAACGGCGAATTTATTTAGAATCCAATCGAATAATGCGTTACATGCAAGATAATTCATCAGTTATTGTTGGTGGTCGTGGTAATCAAGCTTATATATTAGCTACAGCTCCAATATATGATGAATGGATTCGAAATAATTATGAGCATCAATTTTGGCAAACATATTTTAAAATGGACACACAAGATAAACATTGGACAAAAGAAGTCATTACACGCACAAGAAAAACGTGATGATGTAACAAATAGTCGATTTATCAAGAAAAATATCAATCGATTAACAAGTAATATAGCTCAAGCGAGTGCTACAATCACGAATCTACAAGTTCAATTAAGTACTTATTGGACTCAAACTACAGCTGGTGCAATAAATCCAAGTACTGCAACAACTTCATCATCAGCAGCAAATACTGGTCGAATTCATAATGCAGTTGATCAACTGGAAACAGCAATTTTAGAATATATTCAACATTTTACACAACATGTAAAAAAACATAGCTGAAAATAAAATTAGATTAGCACAAGTACAAATAGAAGCGTATAAAGCATTAGAAGATTTCAAAGAAATAGCTACTCCAAATCAATGGAATATTCATTTGATGTTAAAACTAAAAATGAAACAATGGAGTACAAAAAATAAAAATTATCATACAGCTATCAAACGTATAGAATATGATTTACCTCCAAAATTTATTTCAAATGCTAATTTTACTTTTAAAATTGATGAATCAATAATAAGTAAAGAAGAAGCTCAAATGTTATATGATCAAATGCGTCAATTAACTAAAGAATATCGTATTCAAGCAATGTCTTTATATTAACAAGCAATAACTCGTGAAAAAGAAATATTAAAAAATGAAATTGAATTTGTTATGAAAGTTTTTTTTCACAAGAAAATGATGAAGGATTTGATATTGAATCGGATGCTGGTTATATAGCATTTAAACATTATAATGAATTATGTGAAAAACGTTTTAATTTCGAAGCTGAACAATCGATCTGTTTTTTAGAAGAACAGCGAGTCGAGGGCGCAGTCAACGAGCAAGAAGAAATTGTTGCTTTGACTGTCACACGATCGTTGAGGGAGGATTGCTCGCTCCAACTATAATTAATGAAGCACAAGCAAGATTAACCGAGGAAGAACATCAACTATTAAAATTAGGTCCTCGGTTTATTTATAATGATCCAAAGCGGCTTCTCGACGACGTACAACTGAGTGGACTATATTAAAACGTAAAATTGAAGCTCGATTTTTCGAAAAAAAAGGTAAGCCCCGACCGATCAGTCGAACAATTTATAGCCTAATTGGATATTATGTTAAAGTATCTAAACCCCTCCGCATAATAGAAGGCCCTCCCATATTACAAGCCCCCCCCCCCCTTATTAGAAGCCCCCTCCAGAAGCTATAACGTGAAACAGTGTTCGACATGGGTCACTTTTTTAGTGACCCGACCCGACCCGACCCGAGTTTTGTTTTTCTGACCCGACCCGACCCGAGGGTGAGAATTTTTTTCAAGACCCGACCCGACCCGACCCGAGGATAAGAATTTTATTCAAAACATGACCCGATTCGAAGGCAGTTTTTTCCTATATGTACATATCGGTTGTGCTTAAGATTCTTTGTTTCTTTCGCCTATTATGCATATCTGTATATGGATATACACCTCCCTAGTCGACTTTCCGTTATAAAATCCCCAGGGAGTCCCTACAAATTGTGAAATCCCTGAGAAGTCCGTTACGGGACTCACCTGGGAATTAATCAAAAACCCAGCAAATTTGCTGCAGGGAGTTTTTTGGGAGTCCTTGAGGAATCCCTTGGGAATCCCTGGACGATCATTTGAGGAGTCCCTAGGGGTTCCTCAAGGATTCCCAAAAAACTCCCTCCAGCAAATTTCCTGGGTTTTTGATTAACTCCCAGGTGAGTCCCCTAACGGATTTCTCAGAGATTTCACAATTTTTAGGTACTCCCTGGGGATTTCATTAGGGAAAGTCGACTAGGGATATCAGTCGATCGCTTTTCTTTCTTTTGAGAAATTTAATTTGTCAGTTCCTTTGTTTTTATTTTATTGCGCATTTAAAAAAATAAGGACATATCCTTGACCTTTTCTCGGTTTTTATGTACCACTGATATTGCATAGTTAGGGCAACAAAATCATCTGATAATACTTCATTGTTTTTCTGCATTCATTTATATCATGTATAGAATTTAAGACTATTACATCGCTAGATAATATATTATATACTTACTGTAAATGCTCTTAAGATATCAATGGATGGAAAATAATGAAATAACACAAAAGAGGATATCATACATGCTGCTTTATTATATCTAATTGTTTGTTGTGAGACCACAGGACTTATAAACAAAAAACTAACATGATTTTTGTGTCTGAAAAATACATATTTGACCCGACCCGACCCGACCCGAGCTGACCCGAGGTTAAAAACTTTTTTCTGACCCGACCCGAGTCGAACACTGATACAAATGTAGCTGACAGCTAGAATTTGACAACAAACGTTGAGAAATTTGACACTAGAAATCAGCATTTGAGGTCAATATGTTCGTAGAATTGAAGGTTACCACGAGGGATGTGCAGTTGACCTCTGATCTATGCTTTATTGATTCTCAAACATCGGCTGTGATAGCCATTCCATCAATCGTTTACGAAACTACCGATAGAGATTCATCTTATAATTATGAATAGTAAAAAACAACATAGAAAAATGGTTTTCGTAAATATAAGAATCTATATTTGCCGATTCTAGACCGTCAATACATGACAACAGTGGTATGATGAAATAGTTTCGGAATTAGGTTATGGGACTATTTGATCTATCAATTTCTCAACGCCCATGAAGAGCTCAAGAATTGTCTGGTACTTGTCTGATACAGTCAATACTGAACATTTGTCATTGTACTATTAAGTAGCCGTTAGGTTTAATTCTTCGTCCAACCTGATCTAGTTTGACTTATTGGATTTTTTCTCAATCGATGATTACGCTTCCTGTATATTTTGCGATACTGTTCATCTCAATCCATTATCGCCTGTGTTATCAAATTAATATCAAAAGCCTCAAATTCAATGTCGATGACAGAAGTAGAATGGAGTGATATAGTTCTCACGCTACTAGACTCATGACATGGTAGAAATATTTTGAATTATATGCTGTGATTTTGTATTAATACAAGTAATATTATTTGCGTCGACGTGATTATGTTAATGAAACATCGTCATTTTTTCTTTTCCCTTTACTCGTTTGATGCTTCAAAAAATTGTTTATTTGATCGAAAACAAGCAAATCCTGTATTGGTTTATTTGGATTAAACAGTATACGTGCATCCACGGGTAGCATAGAAAAAAAAACATTCTAGATATCATAATAATCAAGAAGCAATGTATCCAATTCGTTTTAACTATAAGAATTGAAATTTTTAGCGAAATACATAGATGATACTGTAATATTGATAACGACGCTTGCTTGTAATTGAATTCAAGATACAATTATTCATTAATGATGAATAAAATTTGATTCAAAGTTTTCAGATGTATTTTAATCTTTTCAGAAGAAGCTGAATTCCTTTAGGTTATGTCACCTATTTGAACTAGTCTGAATAAAAATAAGAAGCATTGATAGTGTAAACATTATTTTCCGACATGTGTCAACTCAGTTACACATAGAATGAAGGTATTTATTTATGAAATAAACAAAATCAATTATCATTACAGACAATCTTTGTCAAATACATTCATTTTTATTCTGATTTCTTCTCGTTGATTTGTTGTTCAAATTCAACATCTGTATGTCGATTTAATGAAAAATGTTCTTGATTTTGTCTTTCTTTTTCAATAGCCATAATACCATACATAGCACTTCGCTGTTCTTGTACACGTTTCATTCTTTTTGTTAATGCAAATGCTTTCATGCGTCGTTGCATTTGTTCAGGTGTTAATTGATTCATATTCGTTTGTACTTCATTATTATTATTACTATTATCTTCATCAATTGATGTTTGATTAGATAATTTTCGTAGAATCACTGTACGATCACTATCATATAAATCATGACGTTCTATAGAATTAGTATTACGTGGAATCTCCTCTGATGATCCTTTATCAGCTGTGTCTAGTAAATCATTGATATGATCACGTTCAACACGTAAATTATCACGCTTAAAAATGATTGGTGGTAAACTAGGTAATAATTGTGCATGACGAATAGCTGTTCTAAATTAATATCACAAATAAAAAATTTCATAATAAATTGAATAGATATACCTTAAATCTTCACCAGCTGTCTTTAATAGATCTTCAATAATATTTGCTTCGTGTTCAGGTGACCACCAGAAAATTTCAATACGATTTAAATCCACTGGAACAATAATCTAAGCAAATTATTAAATAAAATATAAAAAGTCAAATGAATTTAATTTTTTTAATAAAATAACTTACATTTGTTAATTGAAAATCTTTTCCAGCTAATATATCACCAATTTCACCGGAACCAATACGATCAGCAACAAATGCTCGTAATATTTTACTTAAATGTATTGCACGTTTTTGTCCAACATGATCATATGATATATGTTTCGGTCGTTTAATAACTGATGGATCAGACTATTTTATTCATTTATATTATACTTTTGTGTTAAAAAGTATGAATACTTACACAATGAGAAAAATATTCTTTGTATTCACTTGTACTAAAAATATAAACTATTCAAATATTTTTAGATAACAAAATAAATTGAAATAGGTTTACAAAGAAAGTAGTTTCTCATCTTCAATTTAGAATGTAATATGCAGCTCATTTAACGTGTCATATTTCAGAGTAGAATGACACTCTTAAACGGTACATTTTGTACTCCAATTGGAATATTTTCTTTTAATTCTCTTTAGTAGGCTTAATGAGCTGTGAAGTAGGAACCAAAAGTTTACTACACTGTGTATTTTTAACATAGCTTCTTAGTGATGATAGTTAGAGCGAATGAGAGAAAATATTTGAATAGCTAAGTGAATTTTCACCATTTATTATTCAATCGGAAACATTTTATAAATAAAGTCATTAGGAAGTGCGAAAATTTTGGAAATAATTAAAATGTTTGTGAACTTTTCACGACCTAACTTTACCGAAGTGTACTGGAACTATGAAAGTTCCGAAACATAAATCACAGTAAATTTTCGAAAAAAAAACACGAAAAAATCGCTTCACTACCTTTAGGAGATTAACTGTATCGCTCGGTACAACGTACATTATACCAACAAATAATCGTCGGCATACCGTCGATTTTTATAAGTATCGTGGTAGTGTGAACAAACTAACCGATAAATCTGAATAGTTCATATTGCATTCACTTCAATATATTTCTGTCTTAGTTTGAGTGAACAATCAATATCTCAAATTATATTCTGAATAAATGGTGTTTTTCAAATTTCGATTTTACTTTTATGTTTTTGTACGTTAGCCGTATTTGAAGAGTAGCACATAGGCTATCATTGAAGAGAAATGGAGCTCAGTTTGCATCAACTGAAAATTATTTTTTTTGTCTTCGGTGAGCTGCATCTGTGTGCAAAAAAAAGTAAATGCTTGAAAACTTTCATCATAGATAAGGTCTCAGTTCAGTCTATCAAACATTTTTCACTATAAAAACATTTCTTATCTGACTTGAAATAAAAATAAAATCTATCTTTATGTATTTTCTATTGAATATTACTACCGTTTATCAATTAGTCGCTTCAATATTCCTTGTGATTCTTTTTTCTTTAATTGTTCTTCTATAATATTTTTCATATGTGGATTTTTTTCCATTTGAATAGTCAAT